TCTGCCCAAGATGCCAAAGTGAAAGGGCACAGCAGGGGCATTCCTATGTAGGTTTTTTAAAACAGGAAGATTAACTCTAACTCCTTATTTTAAATTTAAAAACCAGCTTTCAACTCCAGATCCAGGTTGTCATTCAGAGCCACGGAAATAAGCAAATGCCAAAAATCACCTTACCATACTGCCAACATTTCTGCATCTGCTTTTGCTGGGTAGAAAGCATATGTTTGTTGGAAGAGAGGGAAGGGGAGGCAAGAACTAACCTGTACTGAACATCTACTATGTGCTAGACACTTTAAATATGTTACCTCTCATTTAATCTTTCAAATCACCGTGAGATAGGTATTACTATCCTCATTTTACAGACAAGGAAACTGAGGCAGCAGGCAATATTTTTTGAATGACAAAAGGTCCTTCAAGAAAACAGCTACATGGTATTTTCAAAGGGAAACAGAAAAAAACAAGCTAGACTCTGTTCTTTTTTAAGAAAATAAATGCAGTACAGTTATTAAAGTACATACATTCATATAGAAAAGGACATGAAAAATTTAGCTCCCACAAGCCACTTCTTAAAAGTTATTCAAGCATGTACTGCAACAAAATGTGGGCATAAACCAAAAAAGAGGAAGACATGGGAAAAGGAAACAGCACTTCCAGCCAAGGAGAGAAGAGAAGTCCCAGGACAGCTCTGCTAGAGAGCAATCAATCCAGAATGGTACAGAAAGATGCAGGAAATCTGGGCATAAAGCCTAAGAAAAGGAAACTTGATAGAACAGATGGGATTGTGAGCCTAGAAAATTTCTGAGACCATAATAAAGGCAAATAATGCATAAACCCAGTAAAAGGCAATTAGAAATACTGGAAAAAAATGTTTAAGAAAGCCATGGTCTAAATATTTAGAAATTAAAATGTGACACAAATTTAAACAATTGATGAAGAGTGAAAAGAAAAATTGATTTGACTTTGGTGCTGGACACATCTCTTTTGACTGGTCCAGGAATCCTGACACCAGACCCAATGGGCTAGTCTAAAATCCAATCCTAACAAACAAGGCAGGGATTAGCCTGTTACTCAGTGGCTAGAGAGTGGTGTTATAACACCAAGGTCAGGGGTTTGGAGCCCCCATACCCACCAGCTGTCAAAAAAAAAAAAATGGTTAGGATACTAACACACAAGGCAACGAATCATTTTATAGAACACTAATCATGTAAATGTTGCCTATGGATTTTCAACTGTAAGAATAATTTGAGTAAGAAGGTCAACTTTTGGGCAAAGCACAAATATAGGTTATGGGTTCAGGGCTTTGGCAATGTTAAGGTGTCACTGTCAAAAAGTAAATTGTAGCTATCCAAACATGGTCTTACAAAATTGGACTCCAGAAAAAGTACCAAAAGGTGACAAAAAATAACAAAGGTGACTAACAAACTTAAAATAATATAAATATCAAATCTGGGAGAGGAAGAAGAAAACTAATTTAAGGAGCTACATTCTAAGTTTCATATCAGGAGTTAAAAGTTGATAAAAAAATCGTGGTAAAAGTACATTACTTAGGGTTAAAAAGGTAACAATCTAAGAATTAAATACAGAAACAGTTAAAAATTAAAAGTTTCCCTCTGTCAGCCTTGAGGAGGTGAAGGAAACCATTGTTTTTCAACAGAAGTCCTCTGTACTATTGGATTTGGTACCAAGTGCACAGATCACTGACAAAAATAATTTTCTACCATACATTTCACAAAAGGCAAAACACTAAAATGATTACTAAAAATTAGGAATGGCAGCCAAATGTTATAATTAGAATCATATTTAAGAATAGGATAAAATCTTTTAGAGAATTATGTTTTTTAAATAAAAGTTTTCTAGAAGAATGCAGAAAAAAGTAAAAGCTGGAAAATTCTACTGAGGCTAGATCATATCCTTCATTATAATTCTCCATTTTCTGGTTTATGTACAAAAACCATGTATTCCTTTTACAAGCAGAAACTTTTAAAAAATTTAATGTGATCAATGTTCAAGTCAGTGTGCCAGGTTGCTAAGAGCCCAACACCTACGCACCCCAGACTGACTCATGAGATTTAGAGGGCAGCAAGGGTAAGGCAGCAGCTTTCAGAGGCCACAGGCTTAACATTTGATCAATTTGATCCAGGTTATGTGTTACCTAAAAGAATGCCTGAGCACCACAGGAAAGGTGCAAATGCTCAGGAGAGCACCCTGTTAGAAGGTACTAGAAAGTGATTACATCACATACCTAGGAACAATCTTACCTGAGAAAATGACAAAAGGCTTTTTAAAGCTTCTCAGATGTCCAGGCTATTTCCCGTAAAGCTCATTATTTGGCTAGGGAAGTGACATGGGTAAAGGGTGGGGGTGGAGGAAAAGGAAAACTGCTCCCTAAGTGGATGGCAACAGAGTCCAGGGTCCCCCATTAAATAACCACACCACTTTTCCAAAATCATGTCATCACCCTTCCCTCACCTCACTTTTGTAGTTAAAGAAAACAAAAAACAAAAACTGACCCTTGGCAATTCTAAAATCCTTTGATTTCTGATTTATAAAGCCCTCAACTCCCAACAGAGTCAAGAATAGAAGTTTTCTCCTAGCCCCATTTCACAGATGACAGAGAAAAGGAATGGGGAGACTTCATGAAAGTTAACTCAGGGTCAGTTGCCATCGTTTTTTCAAGCTTCTACTTAATCCACCAAAATACATTCCCTTTTGAGACAGTATAACAAAGTATGACATATAACATTTACGTTATTTCAACTTTAAACAAAGCTCTAAAAGATACTCAAAGAACTCTTGGCAGATTGTTTATTCTGAAGGACAATAGTCACGATGACTTAATTTCTTAAATTCTCTTAAGTCACTTGGCCAGATAATTTCCAGGGATAGCATCAGACAGAGCCAACCTACTGACACATTTTTTCAGCTGTTATTATTGACTATCCAAAACCAAATGAGGATGCACTCTGCTTTGGATTGGGGAGTGGTTGTGGTTGGGGCTGGGGGGTGGGCAGAAATGGATTACAGCGACTTTCTAAACCCAAGGCTAACTTCCATTTCTGCCGTAATTCATAAACGGTTCTGAGCTACTCCACTCACTCAAAACACATATATAAGAGAACTTTTTGTTTTGCTCTTACTTTTTTTTTTTTTTTTTTTTTGCGCTGGCCAGTACAGGAATGGAACCCTGGACTTATTTAATATTTTTAATAACCACAGTAATACTCATCATACACTGTGTGTGTGTCAGTGTGTGTGTGTGTATTCATAAACACAGTTTAGAAATCAAATGGGACAAAAAAGGAACCTCCCCTCCCCAAACTATTGAAAATTATTGGGTCTCTATTTGTATTTATTTCTAAGTCCATTCCAATAAAAATCACAATAAAATATTCAAAACTGTATTAACCTAAGTAAACCTAATACATGATGCTACGCATTTTGGACCTGTATGTACTACAAAAACCAATGTTATCCTTCGGAACAATATCACATTTAGAAAAATGTCATTATTATATCTCATACTTGACTTCCATTAGCCATTTAGAAGTCAAACAAACGTCCATCTATATCACTAAATAACCCAGACAAGACCGGTTATGAAATAAATGACCATCAAGTTTATTTCAGATCTCAGCACTGCACCAACCCCAGAAACAAAAAAGAACTCCTTGCACAAGATGTCAACAGCTTTGGGATGGGGCAGAATAAGATTTGGTCACCAGTATGAGTCAAAGAGTTGGCTACAATAAACCTCATCTATCACTACGAACTCGTTCTTACGGCCCTCTCATAGTAATCAAAGTATCAAATATTAGTGCCAAAGAAAGGCTTAATTTTATTTTTACTCGTTCTTAGGGCCCTCTCATAGTAATCAAAGTATCAAATATTAGTGCCAAAGAAAGGCTTAATTTTATTTTTTAAACTCTAAGTAATGCCTTAACATAACTTCTGAACTAAGGCTACTCCACCAAAGAAATGTGGGCTTCCAAATGAACTCTTAAAAGAGGAGTTTCCCTCCTTGCAGTGAATGCCAGCCCAGGGTAGGCAATCTGGAACCAAGTGGTCCAGCTGGCACGACTTCCATCCAGGCCTTTGACTGCCTGACCCCCATGACCTCGCTGGTTACATTTCAAGTTCCATCTGGGTTTCTCCTCAGGAATGTAATTATTTTAGGGTACCACAATTGAAACAACCTCCGCTAGTGTTTGAGAATGCATTTTCCTGTAAGTCTAAATCGAAAATTCGAATCTAACGTAAAATTCATGATATCAAAAAGCTGGAACGATGTGAAGGAAAGAAGGGTGACAAGACAGACTCCTGATTTGACGGTATCTTAGGTTACTACGTGCAACTCCTGACCCAATTTCCACACAATTGATTCGTCCTGCCCACAACTACTTCACCCCGCAGATGCTAATTACATCACTGTGCTGTGTGGTCCTTACGTCACCTAGCTGGAGCAGTAAGGCCTACCAGGCACCGTTCACTTTTCCAGCTTGCTTTTCCAAAGAAGCTAGCGACCCAAGCACCTACTCTCCAAAACCCTTCTCCTCCCCACGCCTCACAACTTTTCTCTATCTTGGTGTCACATCCTAATGGACCTGGCTCTGGGTTATCTGACTCAGAGTGGTCAGGGAAGGGGCCAAGAGTCTGTGCCAAGGAGTCTGTTTCAATCCTCCAGATTCAGGGCAAAGTCACCTGTGTGTTTCATAGGAATATCGCCATCACCCCGCCGCCCCACTCCCTCCCAAAAAAACCCTTTTTTTCTCCTACGTCTAAGAGTTTCCATGTCCTGAACCTCTTAGAATTTCCAGAGTCCTGTCTGAACCTCGCCAGAATCCCCTCTGCTTCTGATCCTTTACAATTCCATCACACAGAGACTCGCCCCTACTTCCAGCTCTCCAAATATTCGGGAAAGAGCGGTGGAAGGACACGCGCCACACGCACACGCGCGCCCTAGGCATCGCGACTCTATGCCCCTCGGCTGCAGGCTGACTTACTTGAGGAAGTACCTCTGGCCGGTGGCCGTGAAGGTCATCTCCCAGCCCGGGGGCAGCGGCAGCTCGTCGGTCACGTCATAGGACTGCTGGCGGAGGTGCGCGTGCTGCTGCGCCGGGCTGCCCGCCGCGCCCGCGCCGGTGCCCAGCTGCAGGGACGCGGGCGACGAGTGCGAGCGGACGTGCTGGGCGCCGCCGGCCAGCCGGGGCCCCGGGGGGCCGCCCGACGAGGCG